TCTCTCTCTCTCTCTCTCTCTCGCTCTCTCTCTCTCTCTTTCTCCCCATTTCTATCTCTCTCTCCATCTCCCCATCACTAGCGCTATGACGACGATGATGGTTTGGTGTCCTATGCGATGCAATACCAAACTGTTTTCAAGACATAGAAAGAGCCAAATGTATATATATATATATACGTATACGTTTGTATATAATTCCATCTGTTAATGTAAAATTGACTCATGAAAATCTCAGAATAAAAATTCTACAAACGTGAAAGTAATACGACAGTTTAGTGTAACTAGGTAGTTTAGGGTAATAAATTAGCTCCAACACTATGAACCTCTCCACTTTTGTAACACTATACCTACCTCCACCCCACTGGCTTTCTATTTAATCAGTCAGCTTCTCTTCAGCTAGAGCATAAGAGCGCGTCTAGCAAATGTGTATTTTGATGAAATTGTACATTTAACATGGGGAGCAAATACTCTTCACATGGGTGGTGTCAGGAGCGGAAGGGGGTTAACAAAGGGGGTTAACAAATTAGTAACTTGTTAAAGAAAGATCTATCAATAGATTTGCAGTCGCTTTTCATCTGCAGCGCTGTGCTGGATGCATTACAACCCTACTCGCAATATGAGGTTAGATCTCCCGTTGGGTTTCTAATATTCCCGTCTCGGACCTCAATCATGGCGCCTGTTTTGGGCAGTGGCTACCTCTGTTTGCACATGTCTGATAATTAATGTTTCCTGCTGATATGTGTCGTCCACCGCCACGATGTGTGGCAAAATGTTAGAATCACCGGTCGAGGACAATATATGTCAATATATTGGAGAAACCGGCCGAAAATTTGAAATCCGCCTTAAAGAACATAAAAAGGACGTAGACACCGTAGCTCCTAAATCTTCTACAAGAGCCCAACGAAAACAGTCGGCTACCGAAATAACCAAATCCGCGATCACGGACCACGTAGCGAAGGACACTCACACGATCGATTGGGATATTTCGAAGATCATCGATCGCGAGCCAATCAAGATCAGGCGCTGGATTAAAAAGGCCATCTGGATCCGCTAGACCCCGAACATCAACCGTGACGAGTGGGGATCACTGATCTCTACTATACTAACTGGATAGCTCCATATAGATATAGAAGAGAAGAATCTTCTCTTATATATCTATGATAGCTCTTAGCCGATCCACGCTAGTACGGTAGGGAAGATAGCTGGGGCGGTAGAAGAAGAGGGAGGGTGAGCGAGGGACAGGGGAAGCAAGGGAAAGGACGCAAGGGCATAAAGTAGGGGTTTTGTAC